TCAAGAGTGAACCATCCTCAAATACTTGTAGTACAACAGGGGCAGACTGCAACTGTATATTGTTTCTAGGAAAATCTTCCTCAGCTGCTGTGAGAGTTACACCTAAGCTCAGAGGAACCTGAAGGTGATGGAAGATCATTTTGAAATCCTTGCTCCTCAGAAAGTCTGAGGGTTTTGATCTTGCAAGGCTGGCTCCAGTATACAGTTACCATTCTCCAGTTTGTGTTTCATGTTATTAGTGGTCACAGACATGAGAACAGTGTGTTCTTACACTGAACATTTGGGATGCTGAGAAATCCAGGTATGAAATAATTCATGATAAATGATACTTGAGAAATGATAGGGCTTTGACAGTGATAATTTGCCACAGAATGATAGTGGTTTGTGTCATTTCAGTGGCACATGGTGAAAATCACCATAACTGTCTCTGCATCCACTAAGACAAATACAGTAGGACCCCCATATATGTAGGAGATTGGTTCCAAGCCGTACCCCCTACTGGTGCTGAACACTGCGGATAACAGCTAATGCTATACAGAGCAGGGTAAAAGAAAATAATCCAGAAATACATGTTTTCACCATGTACAGGCCACTAGAGGAAGCCAGATTCCCAGCTCCCTGTTCTGGTAAATACATCATGAAAATACATATTTCTAGTTTTTTCCCTTTTAATATTTTTAATGTTTTCAAACTGCAGATAAGTGAAACTGCAAATACCTTCTAAAAAGTACTTAAGAAATTAGCTTCTCCACTACAGCTTTTGATCTGGAATGTTTTGTTCCATTTTGTTTGAGTATTAATTGAAAGTCTGTGAACAAAAGGTTTTTGCTAGACATGAAGTTCAAATGGGCAGTACCATAAGAGCTCAACTCTGTCTCTGGAATAAAGAAATGCTAAAAATAAACAATGCATTTAGAAGGGAAGAAAAGATGCAGAAAGCCATATAAAAACTCACTGTAAGGTAAAGGTAAACATTCCCCTTGACATTTAGTCAGTCGTGTCCGCCTCTAGGGGGCAGTGCTCATCCCCGTTTCCAAGCCATAGAGCCAGCGTTTGTCTGAAGACAGTTTCCATTGTCACGTGGCCAGCATGGCTATACACGGAATGCTGTTTACCTTCCCACCGAGGTGGTACCTATTTATCTACTCACATTTGCATGCTTTCGAACTGCTAGATTAACAGGAGCTTGGACAAGCGACAGGAGCTCACTCCGTTGCATGGATTCAATCTTACGACTGCTGGTCTTCTGACCCTGCAGCACACAAAGGCTTCTGCAGTTTAGCCCACAGCGCCACCACGTTCCCTTATAACTAAGCATAATAAGATGAATATTGTATGGACAGTGAGAAAAATACTGATAATACCAGTGAGAACTTGGTACATTATGGAGAGCAGACGTTCCATCTGGAAGAACCCTTCATTTTTCCCCCTACGCTTTTACGTCACTCCAACTCATAGGTCATAGTTATTTTGGCCATTCAGACAACTTTCATTTATTTCAAGACAGTTTTTGCTGCATGCATTGTTTTGTTCCAAATATCTTATTAATGCAATTCCCCACCCTCCTTGGTTGCTTTGATGTAATCTGAAAAGTAGTTTTAGAAAAAAAAAATGGTGGCGATTCTAAACACTGCAAAAAGAAACAAGTTGCAGAAATTATCTTCAGCTTCCAGCTTGTTCTACAGAAGCTTAAAGCAGTCCTTTTTTCTCAGTGCTCCATCTATGAAATCTGTGACCCAGACTTTTTCCTTGCTGAAAGACTAAAAATAACAATAGATGATAGGATCAACTGTGCCAATGGGATACACTTCAGAATTCTAATGATGCCTTGGTATGAAATAATTCATGATAAATGCACAAATGAGCTCAGCTTTTATATCCAGAGGGTGTCCCAAAATAAAATTAACTATCCTGAAGTATCTTGAGGCACAATATTCCATTTGCTTTTCATGACCTATTGGCAGCATTAGGGCATATTAATAGTATAACAACTCTATCAAATTCTTTTTCCCATCCACCCTCACAATGGGCACAATCAGATGTCATTATAAGCCATGGTTCTGCAGGATGAATCAGTATGCTGCCTTGTAGCCCCACCTGCAGCAGGACTAGCTAAACAGATCCATGGTTTGTTTAGAGTGATGTCTGAACTTATCTCCAGCTAGCTGTCTCACTAGCCTTTCCCTCTACAAGCCAGAACAACCTCCAAGTAATTTCCCTGATTCTTAGGGGAGAAACAAGTGTCACAGCTGATGGATACTGGGCTTGGATTTCACACTACATGAATCATGGATTGCAAGAACATGGTTTATTTAGTCATTTCTACCTGAAGTAGTGATGAGGCAGTAGAAGTTGACTCATCACCACAAGCCAGCATCCAGTAACTGTTGTGGTGTACAAACATGGCCAATGCTTTCTAACAGAGTTGACAAGTCAACGGCAGTTAATTCACTGAGTTTTGAGGCAAAATCCTAAGATCAGGAATAGATCCTTGTGATGTCATGAGGCTGAGCAGGCAAAAATTGGGAAGGGGGATTTCCTCCGCCTTGCAACAAGAAGGCTAATGTGTCATCATGCTAGTGCTCCACCACCTACTTTGCACCAAATTGCATGATGGGCCTACAGACAGTGTAATGAAAAAGACATGAAGGTAGGGGACCAGGGAGAGACCTGATGGGTGCAGGTGCTCTGGCCCATCATGCCATTTAGAGCAACAAACACAATATTATTTTCAGCAACCTTTGGCATCTGCTTGAAATAGGTGGAGATGGATGCCCAGCCTTGAAAGCCACTTTAGATATACAAGTCAAGCTAACTCTTCTTTCCATTTGGTTCATCCTGAGATTTGTTTCTTTCCTTGTCAGTACCCTGAGATCGGGCAACCAATCTCAGGGAACAAAAAGACCAATTAAAATATGTGACCCAGATCTGTAGCACTATGTGACTCGACATGCAATCCCAAGCAAGCTTTGGATCAGTATTTCCTAAATATATTCTAACTCTCTGCTGCTCTACAAATCCTTTATTTTTTAATTTTTTTTTAAATCTTGAAGCTGTGTACTTGTGAAGCAGTTTGATTTATGGCATGCACGTTTATTTTTCCACTGGGGAAAGGGCCAAGGTCCCACTAGGTATGTCTGCTGCCAAAGGCCTCTGATAGGCACCAAGCCATTCTTTGGATTCTTTTGTACAGCACTCATTTTCCTGCTTCCTAAGGATATAAAGCTCCTAAGGAAGAAGTGAAGCTGTGGCATGGTTGTTTTTGCTGCAGACCAGACAGGCCTGCTCTGAAAAGTCTATAAAGTTGCTGCCATTAAGCTAGAGAAAAGACGTTTCTTGAAAGCTGCTGCTGTTTTCATTCTTGGGATGCCAACTATTCTTCTAACTCCTGCTTCCTATTGGGAGCAAAAAAACCCAGTCTGGCTGCACTCCAGAAGCCAGACATTGGCCCACTATTCTGCAAAGAATCTGCCTTAAAAAACACCCAAGAACAACAAAGCTCCATTTTCATTCTCAAGGAAATTTAATTGCAGGAAAGAATATTGAGATGTTCTTGTGGCATGGGTTCTTGGTGATATAGAGGAAATGGATGCAATCCATAAAAAAAAGCTGCAGCTATAATGAAACACCTTCCTTAAAATGACAAGGAGGGAAAGAAGCTATTGTATTGCAGGAGGTCACGGTGTATCACAAATCCCTATGGCTGCTGCTTGAAAAACCTGGATAAGGCTCTTGAAATAGTGAAATATAGTGACAGAGGAGATATCAGCTGCCTCAGAGTCCTTTTCTTTCTCTACTCCATCTCTTTAGAACTTGACATCCACGCCTAACTGCCGTGCTTTCTTTATAGTTCTATACAGCAATGCCACTCGTAGGAGTATTAACAAATATTACTTCTCAGCTCACTCCACGGTCTCCAGCACAAGAGGAACAAAGCTGCAAGCATGTGCTAACTCAGATTCTTTGTGTAAAGCAGAGTATTTGGTGAACCCCTTTAAAAACATGGGGCAGGGTTAGAAAGTGGCAACCATAATAATTTTTCACAAGGACTGTTGTTTTCTTTAAAGAGTTTTTTCTCACAATTTGGCTGAATCTGTGCAAAAAGTCCTTCTTGCGCCTTCTCTTGCCAAGAGAGCACAAAATACCTCACCCTCGCCATGGGTGAGAAGAATAATGTCGCAGGTCCTCGACCTCAGCTGTGAGGGCAAGAAAAGTGAGGATTTACATCCATATTTCCAATAAAAGGAGGACCTCCTGGATTGCCTACCCTTCCAGTGCTTTTTCCTTGATTTAAATCAATTTCTACATGTGTAACTTAGCAGCGCTTAGGAAACCTGGGTCTTTTTTCCCCCTCCCTTTATAGCAGGACACAAATGTTTTCAAAAGTTCAAGCCTGAAAAGATTTCCAATAGGAATTTAAAAGTCTCCTTTCCCAGCAGAAACAGAAGCTATCAATTCTCAACTTGCCTGCTCATGTGAAATAGTGGGTTCCTGCCTCGGATGTCGCAGTTTTGTTTCAAATAGCCTTGATGATGGCAGGGTACACGAGAATGACAAAATCATAAAGATGACAGCCTAATCTTCAAAGATGACCGATCTCAGATAAAAGATTAAGTAACTCCGCATTTGAAATACCAGATTATCAGTCTCCCAGCATCTTGCCTGTATACACCTCCTGCTGAGTTTTGCACAGATATCACTGACACGTTAAGATGCTACATCTTAGACACCAGAATTGCTACAGAGAATTCTGTTCCCTCAAGCCATTGAGTTGAAAGCAACAGGCCCTCCACTGAAATATTAGTTAATCAAACATATGTCTTTGAGACAAGCATGCAACAGATACATCCATTTTGGAGTAGTTACTTTACAACTTCTAAAATAGTTAATTTTGCTATGTAATTATTACAGGTGAGCTGGCAGAGGATTAGTGATTATTCCATAATTTTTATTATCCAGTTTTATGTACCCCAATACACAAAAATAACAGCTGTACTTACAAGAATTATTAGACAAGCTGGTCCTATAAAACTCCATATAAAATTATTCTTTGTGCTGAGCCAACATCTGAAAAATAAAACGTTTCAAATGCTTTGAAATAAGTTTACAGATCAAACCTCCTTGTCTGGGGAATCAACTGATCCCAGAATCTGTCTTGGAATTAGTCAACGACAAATAATAAAAATAATTGTAATTAGTTACTTTTTGGATGACAGGGTTGTAATGAAGTTGTATTTCAAAAACAATGCAACAGGCATGAATCCAAACAAAAAGTAACAGTTAACTTCAAAGGTCACTTTTAGAAGAAGCTTGGATACACATTTTTGAGAGGAATTTTGGTGGAATTTGATAGGAATTTGCCATTCATAAAGTGACATCAATCAAGGGAAAATCCCAGACTAACTCCTTTTTTTCATCACTTAACCACTTCTCACCCAAAGACAAAGCAATTGTCAGGGCTGCTTTTCAACAAGTATGAATGGTAGTGAGCACAAGAGGGGTCCTGTAAACCATCTTAACTGCTGCCAACATTCAGGCTACTTTTTGTTATGTAAAGCTTAGCATCCCTTTTCCTCCTGGCAATGGGAGCATGATATGGTGCAGCAGTATTGGGCCATTTCCTGGCTTTTTGAACTGTGGGTACAGAAGCACAATATATTGCATTCATAAAGCAGAGGACTTTTGAGGAACTGAATAGTTCAGTTGACATTGTATTTCATGAAGTATCTGATGAAGTAGATCAGAATCCATGCAAAGCTATGCTAAAATGCACTCCTACTGCTGCCATAATACTTTTTTTCTTTCCTTTTTTTCCCCTTTTGGGTTGGATGAAAGACTATACATTTTAACCTAGAATCCTAGTAATAATTTCCAGCTTTCACAATCCATGAATGATGGGAGATGTTTGGAAGCATGCCCTGGAGAATGGGGAATTTATGCGCGAAGGCTTTCACGGCTGGGATCTAATTGTTGTTGTGGGTTTTTCAGGCTCTTAGACCATGTTCTGAAGGTTGTTCTTCCTAACATTTCACCAGTCTCTGTGGCCGGCATCTTCAGAGGACAGCACTCTGACAAGTAGCATGGTCCCAAACCATGTGTTGTCCTCTGAAGATGCCGGCCACAGAGACTGGCGAAACATTAGGAAGAACAACCTTCAGAACATGGCCAAAGAGCCTGAAAAACCCACAACAACCAAAGGGGAATTTGTTCAGAAAAGAAGAGGCATCTCAGTGTTTTCACATAGTACTTGGGTCCTTTTCAGGAGAAAGGCAGGGTAAAAATATTTTAAATAAATAAATGTAAATTAAAAAATAAATATAGTACTTGTGTGTTGAGCTGTTTGACTGGAAACACTCAGCCCTGAAAAATCAGTGGCAGGAGGGATTCTGACTACCTGTTTCAGGTAAGAAGCCTATTTTAGGCCACCTTTTCATGCTGAGAAATGGAATGTAGATCCAGCATAGCCCCCCCCCATTGCTTTTCAAAAGACAATCACTGTAGTGAAACATGGCTGTATCAACTTTTTCTGGAATGTCTAGTCATACGGATGCCTACTTTTGTTCAAAGTGCCCAGGCAACTTTATCACTTTATTAGACAACTCTAGATTGTATGAACTGAGTGACTAGTCAGAAACAGGGTTATGCTATCACATTCTAGTGGGCTGATACAGCAAAGGTTATGTCAGAAGTATCTGTAACAAAAGCCAATTCAAAAACAGTGACTTACACATCTGTTGTTCCGTAGTATTTGTATCCCAATGCTGCAGAAATGCCAACTACCACTGCTGGGCTCACATAGCCAAAGATATAGAAGTTCTTGTGTAGAAAACCTTTGTTGTAAATTACTCCGACAACGATAAGGTACAGGTGTATGCCTTCGATACACATCCAAGCAAAGGCAGCTAACAGGAAATAATGGAGCAATCCAGCAGTGACTGAGCAGAATAGCTAGAGGAGCAAATAAAAAAAAACAGCTGATAAATTCAACCCTATGTAACCTCCAGTTCTACAAAGAAATGTACGAAAGCAGGATTGTTCTAAGCTGGAATGGAAAAAATCAACCCAAATAAGTGGGCATAACTCCTGGTGATACTGCTAGAACATTGCCAGCGTAAATATAAGTTAAGAATCTGCCTCCATCTTGCTTAATTAGATGTCTCATTCTCGGAAGTAGACCACTGGCAGAAGAGCTATCATATTTTCAGTGAGGCTTAAGCTTCTGAGCGAGATTGGCTGAAAGACTTAGATGTGTATTTTATATTCACAGCTAGTCATGTGGAACTCAAATGTCAACATTCAGATTAAGGCTGGGAAATGTTACATGCACCTTTGAAAATGGCCCTTTAGAGTATCTATTTGCTTTCATACTCGAAGTGAAGAAACAATAAGGAAAGGCTACTCACCTTGTTGCTGCTCATGTTAATTCCAACAAGAAAAATGAGCTCTGCCAGGAAAAGACTGCAACAGAGATTTTTATGAATCGTTGTTCGCGTACTTTGAATTTCACTGAAGAACCAAAATGTGAAAATGCACAGGGAGAGGCAAACCAGTGAGATAATTATTCCAAGCTCAGTGATTCTTGTCAGAATGTGATCCTTGATGTTCTAGGAGGAAAATCATAATATGTTAAAAGAGAATGTATCACCAATGATTTAAAACTCAATTTTTGTCCTTCTTATATTCCACCCACCCACCCACCCCCATTGTGCTTCTCCCCCTTTTTTCCTGTAGAATGTAAATGAAATTATTGGTGGGGACATAGCATAAATAGATAAACAATGTTGGAAAGATTGTTTTTTTAAAAAATGCTGTGACAATCCTTGGTGCAGGATTTTAGTGTTGTTAAGATCTTAATGCTAATTGTTGGAGAGGATCTGCAGAAAGTTTGTTGAAAAATTGTGGGGGGGGGGGGACCAGAAATGTGGACGGAAGGGGAAGGACAAACAGCCAGTTTTTTTGAGGAACAAGAATTCGTAGTCATCAGCATCACATTCAAATTGCCACCTAGGAGAGTGTATACATGGAAATCCCTGGAAGACAGCATTAACAACCATACTACAGTGGTGCCTCATTTAACGGGTGCTCCGTTTAGCGACGAAATCGCTTAGCGATGCCTTTTTTGAAGCGTTTTTGTGCTTCGTTTAGTGATGGTCCCTATGGCCGATTTTCACTTAGCGATGGTTGGGACCATGCTTCGCATAGCGATTACATTTTGGGTCCCCTGTTTTGCTTAACGATGGTTTAAACAGCCTCATGTTTGTTGTTTTTTAAATGTTTTTCTGTTATTTATAAAGTTAAAGTTTACTGTTTAAAATGTTTGAAATCATAAAATGCACTTAATAAACCCTTTGTTAACTAAATTTGACTTTGTTCTGATTTTTTTAAATTTGTTGTTGTATTTTTCCCCCCATTGAGATGCATTGAATAGGTTTCAATGCATTTGAATTGGGGAACTGCATTTCGCTTAGCGATGTTTCCTATAGCAATTTTCGCTTAAGAATGGCAATTCGTTCCTATTGGAACTGATTATTCGGTTTTCAATGCATTTCAGTGGGAAACCACTGTATATGGGACCAAAAGACTTATATAGCTAATTAAAGGTCCTGGACAGTGTTAAGTCAGCAAAAATCTATCCAGAGCTGACTTAAATTCACAATATAATATGGTCATTACTATGGTTTGCCTCCTCTTAAAGAAAATACAGAAGAACATACAGGAGAAAACCCAGAAATTAAACACCTGATTACTCTGCATATCCAGTTAAGGAGATGCATCATGAAGAGATCAATGAGAACTCACATTCACATAGCCCAGACATAAATGGTACTCTATAAATTTAGAGAGGTATTAGCTTATGTGATCAACAACAATCTTGAAATGTGAATGGAACTAAGATGTGGTTGTCGGAAGAAATAGAAGAGCTAGTGGAAGAGAGACAAAGTTAGAGTAATAAAGATGGCATTAGATACAGAGAACTGCATAAGAACAACTGAATTTTTTTTTTACAGAAGTCAGAGGAAAATAGATGTCCAAATAGTGTACTGAAATAGAAAACCTAGGGGAAACCTACAACTTCTTTAAATGTGCATTAAAAAGAACAAGGAGCTAACATGTTTTTAAAAATCATAGCGCCCACTACTAGTGGATAGCAATAATTCCATGGTATTGATGCTGAGGATAAAATTGAAGCATATAAAATGAGCACATTGAAGAGCTGTTTTAATATAATGACAGAAAAACAAAATTCATTGTACCAGATGTGAATGAACTAGAAACACCCAAATCTAAAGCTGGATTTGCACTGTGGTGCAAGAAAACAAAGCTCTATGATTTTTTTTTTGGACAACTCAAGATATTTTAATGAATGTTTTGGATCTAATATACAGAACAGAAATTATGTATGAAAATTCCAGACCGACGCTTATTCCATTCTCATATGGGAAAATGCCAAATTTTATCATGACAACAGAACCATAACCCTACATAACAATTTACTTAAAGTTTCCTTAAAGAAAATACATTGAATATGTGGAACTAGATGAGATGGCAGAAGACATAGAGATGTGAGGAGAAAGATGTTACAATCTTCCCACCACTGTCAATGTGTTCTCTGGGAATATCTTTAGAGAAGCACCTTTTTACTCAAATGACACTATTATTGTCAACAGAGGGATTATCAACAATGTTTGGTATGCAGATGATACAGTATTATTAGATGACAATGTAAATTGTCTGCAAAAGTTAACCAGTAAGGTCAGTGAAGTAAGGAATGAACACAGTCTCAGAATTAAGGCTAAGAAAACCCACTTTATGACAGCTGGAAAATGCAAGCAGCTATAGAAAGATTAGAGCATTTGAAATGTGGATTTACCACGGGTTGCTGAGAATTTCCTGGATGAATGGATGACCAACAATGAAGTGCTAATATGAATGACTTTAGTCCAAAAATACAAACAAATAAATACATAAATGAAGAAAATTAAAATTAAAATTAAAAATCACAAATATAAAAAGCAGACGGCTAGAATGCACACCATACAAATTATGGAATACAAATCTTTAAGTAGAGAAAATTCAGATTAATACAACTGATCATTCAGGGTAAAACAAAATAAAGAAGTGCAGGTGATAGGACCAGCTGTGAAGATTTTGGGGCATTAAAGTCTCCCCCATCCCATTCTCAATGCCTTCCCCAGCTCAAAAGTGATCCTTAGAGAGCCTTGGAAGTTTGGGGAGGGTGTTTAGCAAACTTTAAAATAAGGATTAGCATTTTTGGTATCTGATATCTTCTGGATTTGCATCTGCACAATGTGATTTCAGCCACTGACTGTCAAACCTGGAAGAGGAGTTTGGATACAAGACCACATCATTATTGAGAACTGCTGGAGCTAAAGTCAACATAGCCATGATGACCTCTGACTTTTGGTAGGAAGGAAGGAAGCAACAAGAAAGAGGAGGTTCTGATACTGATTTGGATAGCCTCTTTTGCATGTGAAGAAAAATTCCTGTCACATCTGAAACATGATTTATTTATTTATTTATTAAATTTATACCCCGCCCCTCTAGATCATGTCTACTCGGGGTGGCTTACAACATGATCAGTGTTGAACCACTGTTTGGGGTCAAAAGATAGGAAGTTTGTATCTCTTTTATGGTGGACCCCTCAGTAAAAGTTTCAGGGGTACATGATTTCTCCTTTCAATTATATTCAGCCTCCCATGTCATCATGTTTCTGATCACTATGGACAAATGTTTCTTGCAAAAATACTGCATGCACAAGGACAACTATGCAGATTGGGGGAGGGGAAAGGGGGAAAACTGCACTGTTCTTCACACAGTCAAACAAATGGGCATACCTGCAGACTTTAAACCAGCGTGCTGCTCGGCACATGATGACACACCCCAAATGGAAACAGCTTGTATTATTGCTTTTGCAGTCCACATTTCCCAACAAACCTCTGGCCTATGTTATTAACTGGAGACCTTTTTTCCGCCTCCCAACCTGCATCCTGTTCTTACACCCAGATTGCAGCCGTGTCCAGATCAGCTTTTAACCACCTCAGGCAAATCACCCAACTCTGCTCCTACCTAGATGAGGGATCCCACCGGACCTTGGGGCAGGTGCTGGTCATCTCTTGGGTGGACTACTGCAATACTCTCTTTGTGGGGCTTCCCTTGAAGCTGACCGAGAGACAACATCGGGTCCAGAATGTAGTAGTCAGACTGATGGTTTGTGTAAGCAAATTCAATCTCATCATTCTGGTTCTGGCTTGCTTCCACTTGCTACCCATTGCATCCTGGGTTAGGTTCAAGGTTCTGTCACTCACACATAAAGCCCTCCATGGTTTGGGAGCATCCTTCCCCAGTGTCATCTGCCCAACCTACTAGATCTTCATAGGTGAGGCTCCTCTACATTGCTACCCAAAGGAGGTCCATAAGTCATCTACAAGAGGAAGGGCCTTCTTCGTGGTGACTTCTTTGTGGAACCAGCTTCCAGAGTTGCTTTGCCTGGCATTCTCCCTTCAACATTTAGGTGGCAGCTGAATATGTGGCCTTTCAGGAGGTTTTCCACACCAGCCTTAGTTGTCTGCCTAATTTTCATCCACCATTTTCCTGCATTATTGTTTCAGTGCCATCTGTTTGATTATTTTTAATGGGTTTTAGTAGTTTTATTTCATTTCTGTTCTGTGCTGTTTTTATTATAAACCACCCAGATTAGTGCCTTGGTGGTAATGGGAGCAGTATACAAATCAAATCAAACCAAATCAATCAACCCAGCCTTCTGCAGCTGCCCATACAGATTCCTCAACTGCATCTGTTACACCTGAACTGTGGACTTAATCCTTATTCTCTGCTTAGGCATTTCTGCCTAGTAAAATTGTAAGATAATGAGTATGCAACAAATCAGCAGAAATAAGGAGGGAAATTATCATATATGGGCAGACCCTTCAGGTTTGAGCTATTGCATACATAGACCTATAGGCTTCCGACTGCTGTAGCTGGGGGCTGACTGTTATGACTGCTACACAGAAGCCATAGGCTGTCAGACATAAAGGCAGCACCAGCTGATGTCACCCAGTTTTGAAGGTGCTATGAATCCAGTGCAGGTTTTAGTCTGCACTTTGCAGCAGTTATCCAAGGTGCTGAATCAATTTTAGGGATAGAGTTTACTGTTTTGTATAGTGTGTTAAGTGTGGATTGAAAGCTGGCATGGATGCACAGCACTCTTGAAGCTGGAGTCACCAGTTGCCACTTCATAGGGTATGAGCAAAGCATACCAAGAGATTGTTCAGTATTGTTGGGGACATAGTCTAAGTGTTACAATAGAGCTAGGAGTGGCATCTCCCTAACAATCAACTTCCGCCTGTCTAATGATAGGGCTGGCACTGTGCACTGTTGATTCATTACCTGAAAATGAAGTATATACAGATCACATGTACTTTGTACATGAAACAGTGCACCACACTAATTTAATAGAAATATTAATAAAAGCAGGTAAAAGCTTACAGAGCCCTGAGAGTAGTTGACACAGAACATAACACAGAGAATGTGTGCTACATTGTTGTAATAGATTATTCAGAGAGTCTAAGAACATAAAGTTCAGGGGCAGCCTAACCATGAAAATATCTAATGCTTTAGAATTATTTCATTGTGTGTCCTCGGTGAGAAAAAATATAATGAAGAAGAAAATGTGATGATTTAACTACTCAGGGGGAAAAGACTGCTGCACACTTTACATATATGTCAGAAATAGAAATGAATAAACACAATGTATAAAAAGGCACTTACAACTTTAGAATCGTTTGAGGACATCAGAATAGCAAAATGAGTGAAATGATTACATCGGCATGAAGTATGAGTGCTATTGAAATCTGTCCGCTCACATCCTTCTGTTGACCAGTTTCCTTCCATTGTGTCTTCTAAATAACTCCAAAATGCACACTTAATATCCTTTTTGTCTATAGTCTGGAACAAAAACAAAATGGTTTACGGATGGCAAATGGCACAAAATCACTCAAAAAGAAATATCTGTTAGATTAGTGAAAGCAATTCATCATGTGTTTTTCAATACACTAACTGCAAAACCTTAACCATTCATAAGTCGGATCAAGAAGCAGCAGGTGCAGAAAAACAAAACAAAGCAAACAGAAAGACTGAGAAAATGAAGCACACGAACTAAAGATGGGGATGGGGAAGAGACCTTTACACCTGGTTTCTTCCAGTGCCTCCCAGCGTTTTCCTATGATGATAATACACTTGCAATTAATTGCAATGACTACAGTATGTTTTGATGCTCATTGCCTTTTAATTGGTTTGCTAATTTTCTTTTCTCTGATTGAACCTAATTTGGAGTTTTTGAATCCCCTGCAACTTTAATGGAAAGCCATTCCAGGATTATCTTTAGAACATTCTGCCTTTCTTCTTCTGTACTATTTCCCTTCCTCCTCAGAAAAAACCTCCAACCTGTGTTCATGCCAGTTGTTGTTTTACTGAGGGTAAGAAAGGACCATCAATGGGTGTGGGCCAAGAGAGGGCGCAGCCCACCTGCCATTTTTGTGGGGAGGTGCACTTCTTGCTCACACCATAGGTGACCAAAGCCTACAGCTGTATGCTGAACTTCTTCCAAATCAGTCATGATGACTTTTTTTCTTAGCAATCCTAACAGAAAACCATAAATCACAACAGATATTTACAGTAGCCTTACCAGGTCATAAGTTAATCATGTCTTTTTCAAACTGCTTAGAGAACAATGACTAATCCTTCTCTTTTGACACTTTCTCCACATGGAGATCAATATGCCCAGAGATGAGAAACTGTTGCTCGTGTGCTCACTTTCTCAGGATTCTTGCATATTGCCTACACATGAGCAAGAGTTTCTCCTCTTTGGACACCCCATTCTCTATGTGGAGAAAGAGACAATGGAGAGGGACGTTATCCCTGTCTAGCATGACAACAAGACAGATAATGACTGAATACCGCCTATGTTTCAGTCTAGGTTCAGGATGGTTTTGGAATCTCTCCAGTAGTACATGTCTGCCATTCTGCTGTCTGTTTTAAATTATTACTGTGCCCCATGTTACATACCAATGCTGGAGGCATTCAAGAGAAAATTGGACAATCATCGGCCGGATCTGCTCTGATTTTGATTCCTGCATTGAGCAGGGAGTTGGAATCGTTGGCCTTAGAGGTCCCTTTCAGCTCAATGATTCTGTGCTTCTATGCACAGGAAATAACTAGGCTTCTCTGAGTATCCAGTTCTTCAGTGAAACTGTCTTTGCTACTACAGACAGAACCTGCTTGTAAAATATGGCAGCATCATTTCTTCCCATGCCCTGCTAAATCTGCCAAGCTACCTTTGCCGCTACAGGCAAACAGAAGCACACTCTGGATAGTGTGCTTGAAAAATGCTGAGAGCTAAAGAGGAGACTTGAGCAGTGCTGACAAATTATTGACAAACGGGCACTAGACCCAACATGCAGTTATTATTCTTGTCACTTCCTATCAACCCTCTGCAGTCGGTAACACATTCCCTTCCTGGTGCTTGCTGTGCAAAATTCAGGGCTGTAATTTCCCCTCTAATGGCATTATACCCACACAAACTCCCAGTGCATGAACACATTGCTACATGCTACAAAAATAATTACTGGCTTAGTTTTAATTGAGATATGATTAAAAAGAAAGCTTACCTGTGCATGCTTCAAAGTAAATGTTATTTCCTCAGCTGGGTAGAGCCTAGGTGGAGTGGAGCTAATGGTGACAGCTATAACTGATGAGCCTACTGTCTCTCCATGCTCTGAATTTTCCTTCAGTGAGAAGTTCTGGGATGATGAAAGCAGACAGCCAATATTGCTGTACTGCAGAAATACCACGGCAGCAGTGCCTATCAATCAGACATACCGCGCTTAGTGGGCTGTGGTTCATATATGTGTAGTAAAACAAAGCAAACACTGAACAGTCAACATTCTTACTGCTCTTGTGTAAAATATGCAAAACTGATAGAATACAATATTTGCAAATACACTCATTAAAACAAGGATTAGAGACTATGAAGAATGCCTGTCTTTCCAAGCAAGAGAACCTCCATAAGTATTAAAAATGAATATTTGCAATAGAGAACTAAACAGCTGGATTCAGTGGGCTGGATCTAAATGTAGGCACTCTCAATGATAATAACTTTGATTCACACTTGATGTGTATAACTTGAAGTGGCATGGATGTCATTGTTATATTGCAAATGTCATTGTTGGGAAAAAGCTCCATTGGCAACCCATCTTCTGTACCCTTGACTGTGATGGATCTCTGGGTTAAGTAACATACCAGTGTTACAACCCAGAATATATATTCATATATAACTATAAGGGCTATTCTAACAATCTGAATGGAAGTAGCAGATGTTAATGGGGAGTAGTGAAGAGCAACCAGTAGAAGACAATAACATTAATTGGAGTAATTTATGAAATGTATTTCAATATTGCAGAATGGAACTGGTGATGGTGATCATCCTGATCACCGTGATGGGTATTGGTGGAAATAAATGATCTTAGAATGGTAAAGATCTTTTGATGTTTAGAACTTTTACAGTGGGATAGATAGCCAGTGTGACGTAGTGGACAGAGTGTCAGACTGGAAATCCTGTGTTCAAATCTGTGATTGTCCACAGAAACTCACTGGGAGATGGCACTGGAAGACCATTCCTTGAACATCTCACATTAGGAAACCCTACTAGGACTGCTGTTTCAGTTGAAAGCAACCTCATGGCACATAATACCACATCAAGGGTGAGGAATATCTCTCAGCCTGAGGTCTGAATTCAGCAACAAAGAACTTTTGGGGGCCACTGGTTGGGGGGGGTAAAAGGGGTGGGCCTCCAAATTCCAGCATACTTGAAACTGAAGTTTTTACTTCTAGTGACTTAGAATGGATAAAAACTCATACGAAATCTGGAAACTATTGAACGCAAGTGTCAGGAAGAGGGTGTGGCCACTTGGGGAAACCTCAGAGGGCCAGATTATGACCCCAGACCTGGGACTGCCCACCCTAGTCCTACAATCTGTTCAAGCTTTATTAGATTGGGGATTTCTAAAGAAGCAGCTTGTTAGTCTGCCTCAGCATGTTGGCAAAATTAATAGATGAAAAACAAAAGGAAGAAAAGAAAAGGCAGTGTATTTGGAAGAAAAGTACATGATCCTGTGGCACTCTAAAGACTGTTAACATATGTCTAAAAGAAGGGGATTTTGATTCACAAAAGCTCTCAGTGACACAAATTAGTCCTTAAAGTCCCACCACAAACTTTTACCCTCTTCCTTTCTCTCCCCACTTTGCCCCCCCAGAGTGGGGATTCAATGATTAAAATAGTATCAGAATGTTGTTTTCTGCATTACCTTTCCAAAAAGCCTTTGTGAGCACTCCCACCAGTGCAGTTATGACCGCTGCTGGCACTGGTGCTGAATATGCTCCCTCTTCTTTGTCATGGGAGGAGCCTGATGGAAAATACCTCTTGGGCTAGGGGTCGGTGACCTCCTAGCCCAAGAGGTCACCGACCCCCATCCTCACCTTTAGAAACAGAGGCTTCCTTTTTCTTGGCAGAGACTGTGATTGTGTCTCCTCCCATGCGGACCTGTTGGTGAATGAAGTCCTCATGTTCCGTATCAAAGGCAAATGCTCTGAGAGCTACAAGAGGAAAAGAAGGGGAAAAAGCTCCATTGGAAAGGGTAGCATTACTTACAGGTCTGGGGGCGAGCGGGAGAGTGAAAGAGAGGGACTATGTTGGACCGGACAATTATTGCATCTTTTGAGAGCTAACTATTTCTAGGCTAAAGAAACCCTCTCTCCCAGTTCGCTTAATGCGATACATGCATGCACTAAATCCCAGGACTTTGTTATTCATAGCAAGCATACATCTTTGAGTCCCCTTTTGTACTTGCTCATCCTTTCTGTGGGGGGAAAAACGCAGCTCCTAATTTGTTTTGCATTAAATGAAGCTCTGCAAAGAATAATGGAAGCTACTTTCTAAAGCGCTTCCACTTTATTAAAATGCCTTTCTGAAAGGGAATACCAATTGCATATTTTAAAAGCATGAAGGTACAACTGAGTGATATTTACGTATTTTACCATATAATGGGAGAGGGAGGCAGATAAGGGAATATGTGATCATCACCACCCCCAGATATGGAATATATTGCCTGCTAAAGTGATACGTGTTGCCAAAAACAAAGAAGCAAAGAAAGCAAAATTTCCAGCCCCATCCCAGTTTTCTAGGGAGAGGGGAAACACCCTATATTGCTGTTACCACAGTCTCTAGTTGTTCATTTTAATAGAGTGCTTTAATCATCTGTAAGAGGAGGGGAAAAGCTGACCAAACATTTGGTTACGATGCGAAACAACAAATAGACGAATTGTCTGGAATTGCATAGCTGGACTGAGTTCTTAATGCACAACGTTTAAAACAGCAACAACCAACAACTGGAGGTTTTCCATAGAGTTCCTGGCAGAGAGGCAGGCAGCCGAGAGCAAGACCCTTGGTCAGGGACCCAAGGTTTCCTTTTAGCTTTTCAACTTTTCAAAATTTTTACTCTTTATTCTCTCTGTCAGGAAATAGCATGATAATATTTTGTGGCAAGAGATAAAATGTACACTCCATTTCCTAGATGGTCCTTTTGAGGGGAATCGCGGAGTAAAGAAAATGTTTTAAACAAACAAACAAACAAACAAACAAATAAATAAATAAATACAGAGAGCACAGTACAAAGAATTAAGAAGTGTCCAGGTACATTCTGTTCAGCTTTCTTTACAGAGCATGGCAATACACCATGTGTGTATCCTTCCAAGTATACCATATATCACTGGTTCTTAACCTTCGGTTACTCAGGAGTTTTGGACTGCAACTCCCAGAAGCCTTCAGCACCAGCTGTCCTGACTGGGGTTTCTGGGAGTTGCAGTTCAAAAGCATCCGAGTAACAAAGGTTAAGAACCACTGCCATATATCACAAACACTCCTACAATCCTGCTTCACCAGCTTGAGCATCCAAGTTAAATCTTTTTGGAATGTGCAAAAGTGAGATTCAATGTCGTGTTTGTCATTAGTGGTTAGATGAGGAGTGGGCAACCTGCAGAGGTCCAGGGATCAGACTCACACACCCTTATTCTTTTTTGTAACTTTTTTTTAAAAAAATGTGCCTTAATTTTTTTTAATCCAAAATAAAAATAAAAATGCATGCGTGAAAGACTGGCATGATGAAGGCTCTGAAAACATTATGAATTTCCTTCCATGCCCCTTGAGAACATAAGGGCAAATCCTGAGCCAACTGTAAAAACCGAGAGGTACAGGGCCCCCCCTTGGGACCGAGGGGAGACACATATGGGCCATGGGCTACATATTAAACCCTCCCCCCAGTACAGGGTGTTGGACTGAGCATTGAGAGTTCCAGGTTCAAGTCCTCATTGAGCCATGAAATTCTCTGGGTGACCTTGAGTCCTTCATATTCTCTCAGATTGATTTGCCTCATAAGAAGAGAGCCAAATTTACTTTCAAAGTCTTGTTGCAAGATGTAGAACATTTGTTTGTATCTAGTGAGATGCAGAAGTGCTTGCTAATCAGGGCAGAAGAGGAAATGGGCGTCAGGCCATTGCCAATTGGATGTAGACAATGTCCGTTGCCATTAGCACTGATTAGATCAGGCATTTTCTTTCTACCACGTGCATGGAAAAAAAGAAACAAAACACAGGGGCAAAGCTAAGATGTTACCCATGCTGTTCTGTTTTGTTTTCACCCACCTAAAACATAGTCCACAGTTTAAAACATAGCCCATAGTTTTATGAATGCCATAAAACTTTAAGCAAAAAACAAAACAAAAAAACCACACAAAACACTGCAACTTTGTTCCTTTATCGGTGGCTCTGGTTTTTTTTTGGGGGGGGACCTCACAGACATGCAAATAAACAACCAATCAGCAACTATCACTTGTTCCCACTTGCATACCCAAATCGCTAGCATTAACCTCCACTGCTGTTGCCTCTTGGAAGTTCTGTGTGACAAGAGCCGCTGTCTTTTCCGCAGTATGGATCAATTTAGTGAGGCTCCGTCGTCGGTTGCCTGCTGGGATAGCTTCCCACACTGTAATTTTATCCTTCTGAACAAAATTGTTCACAGTATTCACAAATTCCTGTTAGATGAATTAAAGAAATTCATACATACATATATTACTTAGTTATTATTTATTATTTCAACTTGTATTCTGCCCCATAGTTGCACATTCTGCCTCATTCCTGGTGATAACTCTTTTAGCTTCCTTAGGTGCCACAGTGTTTAACTTCATGGACTGTGAGCAGTGGGTAGGGTTGACAGCTGTTTTATCGGGGAGACATTCCAACAAGTATAGAGGTCCTTGATCATTAAGGGCTTTACAGGTCATGGCCAGCACCTTGAATTGTGCACAGAAACTATCAGGGAGAAAATGAAGGTGTGCCAATACTTGGGATATGTGCTCATGCCTGCTGGTACCTGTGATCAGTCTGACAGCTTCATTTTAGATCTGCTGAAGTTTCTCTACTGACTTCAATGGCAGCTCTATGTAAAGAGAATTAGTGTAATCTACTTTAGAAACCACCAACACAAGTACCACTATTGATAGCCATTTATTCTTTAGGCAGGGGTGGAGCTGGGCAATCAACCCAAGCTGATGAAAGGCACACTTGGCCACAGCAGATATATGTGCCTTCATAGAGAGAGCTGGGTGCAAGAGTACACCCAAGCTGTCAACCTAATTCTTCAGGGGAAGTGTAACCCTGATCAGGCAAGGTAAATGTCTCTCTAACCAATGTGGTGATTCTCCCAACAGTAGGATCTCTGGCTTGTCTGGATTCAGTTTCATTTTATTGGCCCTCATCCAATCTATTATCAACACTATGCAGTGCTCAAGGACCTATAAGGCAACACCTGAAGATGAGGGAAAGGAAAGACAGAGCTGTGTGTCATCTGCATATGGATGGTAACAAATCCCGAATCTCCACAATACTTCATTGGCTTCATATAACTATTGAAAAGCACTCCTAGGGGACCCCATGATGGAGGTCCCAAGTGAGTGGACATTGCCTGCCCGAGCTGCGCTATCTGAGATTGGTCCTTGAGGAAGGACTGGAATCACCAAAGTACAGAATACCCAAGTCCTAAACTCAATAGCCATCTCAGAAGGATACAGTGGTTGACAGTATCAAAGGCCAGAAAAAGATCTTGAAGACAGGCAGAATTACACTCTCCTGTCTACCTCCCTCCAGAGACCAGCTTGCAGGGTGACCAATGCCGTTTCAGTTCCATGGCATGGCCTGAACCCTGATTGAAATGGATCTAGGCTATCCGTTTCCTCCAAGAATGCCTACAGCTGGTTGGCCACCACTTTCTTGATCAACTGGCCCAAGAATGGAATACTAGCAACGGGGTTATAATTATTAAAATCATCTGTTGCTAAATTTTGTTCCTTTTCAATAAGCCTTATAATGATCTCCTTTAAATGGGAAGGTAAATGGCCCTCCCATAGAGACACATTAGTGAGGTATGTAGCCCATTCCCTGGTTATCTCCTTTGCTGATTTTAAGAGCCATGATGGGCAAGGATCTAGAAAGGAGGAGGTGGCTTTGCAGCTTGCAAGTGCCTTGTGCACACCCTCAGGCCATATGAGCTGAAATGGATCCAATTTAAACTGACTAGATGGTGCTCTGAACATCTCCTTCAGATCTGCTGGTATCAACAAGAAGTCAAGATCCTGACCAAGGCTTTCAGCCTTGGATTTAAAGTGGACTGTCAGTCCGTTGCAGTTGTCCACATTTGGATATAACAAAATAATATATAAAGGTTATATACCACACCATAGGTATCAATAAATAAACAGATTCCCCAGTTCCAGTGACTTACATTCAGGGTTACGTTCAGATTATGTTGCATGTCGTAGTCTGAAATCGTGTTATTCATGCTGCTTAGCAAAGGACAAGATACAGATAATGCTTCTATGTAGGAAATCACATCTACTGGTGGAATTTGTCCCGCAGTGTTCTGATTGATTTCTTGCAGCACAGCTAGGGGTTCTTTTATTTTTCTAATCTGGAATAAAATTTAGATCATTATGCATGGCATTTGTAATATTTAGATTCAAATGAAGATTCATAAATAATGTCTCAACATTAGTTAACAAGATTCTGCCATAATTCCCTAGGAAGGAGCTCTACAATTTGCTTAGCCTTAAAAAGCCAGTGTAATAGGGTGGTTAAAATATCTCAGTGAAAAAAGTCCATTTGTATCCAAGCTCAGCCATAAGTAACTGGGTGGCCTTATTTGCTATCTTCCAAACTAAGGGTTGGTGGAAGGAAACAAAATGCAATGCAATGTCTGCAGCATCATGGAAAGTCTGAACTAGGATAAAAACAATTCACAGCTTATAAATTTCAGCAAATCCATTCCACATGAACATGGGTGGGCATGCCAGCCTGGCTTGTATTAAGAAACACAGTTACATCGGATGGAGGGATTCTAAACCATCCCCAACATTACAAACTTGGATTTGTTGTGTATCAGAAGGTGAAATCTAGTGGCTGGGGAAGAACAGTTAAAGTTGTCTATCGCATTTCCATCTCTCTGATAAGGTCCCCAGTTTTAAAGATTTGAATGGCTGTATCTGGAATGCATGTCTGAGATGGAACGGGAACCGTGTTGGTGGACCAGACTACCTGCTAGCCAACATTTCCTTTTTGACCTAGTCAGGTGGCCTTGAAGTGGTGCTACAGTCTCTTCAGTTCAATGGGCCAAAATCATTATTTTGACAGTGATTCAGGATTTCATGTCTTGCATAACAATCACTACTACTACTACTACTACTAAATCATCTTAGAACTGCAATGCTGGGTGGGACTCTATGAATTATAGAGTATACTGTAGCCTCTGTCAAGGAGGCACAGTGGAGAGTTGAATTCAGAATCTCTGGCTCAACAGCCAGACACCTAAACCACTGAGCCATTGGGCTATCCAGCAGTTCTCTGGATCTTTCCTAAGACAGCACTTAAAGCTTTCTCCCTGGCTAGGTTTACCAATCAGTTTTGCTTTCTCAATTTCTCTTTGCTCCATTTATGGATGTGTTTTCAAATTTCGTTTCTATCACTGATTGTAATAATATCAGGCAAAAAAAATGAATGAAAGAAAAACCACATTTGGATCAGAACTTAAGTACAGTGTAGGAGTTAGTGGAGCATGTTATTTACACATCCCATAGCAGAGTTTATATCTCATAGTTTTTACTAAAAGAGTGGTTGTCTAGCTCAATGGGTTGGTTCATCTGGCCGTGATGCCTGGGATTGGCAATTCAATTCCACACTGCACCCCCCTGGAGAAGAGCTAGTTTATGTAGCCCTGAGTAAGCTACAGCACCACTAATAAACTATTTCTGAGTACTATATATTTCAAAAGCCCTGGATCAACTTGATGGTATTCCCCACCCCCAATAATTTTGCATCAGATCAGAAAATTTGATGATGACACAGCTCTTACTTACTTTAGCTAAGGTCCTGTTGATATTTTCAGCTATACAATCATGGTACAATTCACATTTTACTCGTGGGATTTCTATTGAAATTAAAAGAGACTCTGATTGAATCAGTATTGCACAATCATTGCATCAGCATGGTAACAGTATAGTGAACGCATAATTTCTTTTTTTCATACATCTTCTTACTGGTTTTTCCTCTCAGCCACAACTTACATTTTGTCATTTTGAATTAGATACAGGGTATCTAGATTTGCAGTTAGCTCCGGAGTGGTTTTCAGAGAGGAAGCCACATTAGTCTGTTTCAGCTACAGCAACTGTAGGAGATAGGTATCTAAGAACTAAGTATGGCCCAGTTATTTGTATGTGCAAGGAGAATGCCTGCACAAGGGAGAAATGGTGGATTACAGTATCAGCCAGGCTTTGCACTCTGTCATTCTCAAATAGGATTCCAGCCCTTATAATTAATATAAGAATGTTTTTTTTTAAAAAATGAAGTGACAAACCTAGCTTATGTTTTTTGGTTTGTGATTATGTTTTAAAATTTGGTTTCATAGTGGCCCAAATCCCAAATCTGCTTAGAAGCAGAAAAAAAAAGCATACTGCTTATATAGGTAAAGGTTCCCTTTGACAAATTTTTGTCCAGTCGTGTTCGACTCTAGGGGGTGGTGCTCATCCCCGTTTCCAAGCCATAGAGCCAGCGTTTTGTCTGAAGACAATCTTCCGTGGTCACATGACCAGTGCGACTTAGACATGGAACACTGTTACCTTCCCACCGAGGTGGTCCCTATTTATCTACTTGCATTTGCATGCTTTCGAACCGGTAGGTTGGCGGGAGCTGGGACAAGCAACGGGAGCTCACTCTGTCGCGTGGATTCAATCTTACGACTGCTTGGTCTTCTGACCCTGCAGCACAGGCTTCTGTGGTTTAGCCCGCATATACCACCCTTTAAAGCACTCTCTAGGCAGTTTGCAATTTGATTATGCACCCTGCACACTGCCCACTCCCCTACAAGCTGGCTTCTCAATTTATTAATCTCAGAAGGATGGAATGAACCTTGTGAGTGAACCTTGAGCCGGCTACCAGGGACTGAACCCTGATTGTGAGCAGAGTTTTGGCTGCTTTACTACAGTTTAACCACTCTAACACAAGGCTCTTTTTCTCGGAAGAGAGAGATCCCCTCACCTTTATTTCTCTTAAATGTTCCCACTGATTCTATCTCCTTTAACAAGCTTAGCACAGTAAATTGCCTTAGAATAGGCCCATTGAATCAATGGAGATTTAGTGAGTCAATTTTTTTTTTGTAAGTTTCATCGAAACAAAGGGTCCTACTGTAACTGCAACTCACCATGCTAAAGTGTGATTTACTGTGCCAAGCAACAAGATTTTGGCCATTGACTTGAACAGTCTTTGGAAAGTTGCCATAAGGCTGAAGGAGACATTACACTTGCTGTAGGTTGGATCAAAACGGCACCTGCAAGCTCCCTATTTCTTATTGGAAAATATTCAGCAGTTGATTGTATCCATCTTGTCACAGAAGACCATCCTGTATTTCACTGTTCTTGTTAGCAGCCACTTAAGGCTCAAGATCAGGGGTCTCAAACATGCGGCCCGGGGGCCATTTGCGGTCCCCCAGATAATAGTTTGTGGCCCTCGCCTTGCCTGCCCCCCCCAAGGGCCCACACGTCCTCTGCTGTCAAGAGTTTAACAAAAAGCCTTGCTTCGCTCGCCGGCTCTCTCCCAAGACAGCGCCTCTTGCCCCCTCCATCCAGAACTGCAGCCTGCCAGCCGGCCCACCTGTCTGTCGGCTAAGGAAACTCCTGGGCGGCTTCCTCGGGCTCTTGCTCTGCTTGGCGGAAAATCTGATGTGGCCCAGCCTCACCCAGACTCTTTCTCTAGCAGCCCCCAGGTAAATTGAGTTTAAAACCCCTGCTCAAGATGGTAGGGAAAAGGCACAACATTACAGGCATTCAGAAAAGTATTAATCTGAATGCTAGGGGAGGGCAATAAACCTGGCCCTAGAGACAGCAGCAGTCTGAAGAAGAGAGGCTTTTTGACATATGGACCTTCTGCCATGATTGGAAATCCTTTTTTTTTTTCAAGGTCCTCGGGTACATGTGGAGAATGACAGCAGAATGTGTAGGGTTATCATTTTCTCCTTCCTCACTAATTCTTTTCTAAACACCAGAACGATAAAGCTTACAAGACTGCACTTTATGTTATGTTCTGCTAGATGTTGCAACTAAACATGCAACAGTCATAGCCTGAATGCAATGCTTAGTGAAACTCTGATAAGGATCGTGGATAAATGTATCAGAATAGATTTTTTTAAAAAAATGAAAATTATTTCTTTATTAGATTTTTAATCCAGCTTTTTCCCCAAATGCGGGAAACATGGTGGCTCTCAAAAATTTTTTAAGAAATGTACAAATGCAGACACAAGTGGCATGAAGTTAAGAGATATTAAACGAGTCATAACTTAAAACTTGTTGAAAAATTGTGTTAAGAACACCTCAATGAATTCTAGTGACTTGGTACGAAAATGCAGTTTGAACTGGTATATATACATGAATCTCCAGCAAGTCAATGGGATTTCATTATACAAGGTGATCATGTTTATCTGAAAGCTTGCCTAATGCTTACTCAACTGTAACTCAACTCTGTGACATATCTGTATAAACCTGTACTGATAATAGCAGTGCTTAGTGATTTGCACAATGCTTTTGGCTTTGTTACAGTTAATATACGTCTTCTGGGTACATTAAAAAAGAGAGAAAAACAGATTTATACTTCTACTTTTCTATATATCTATAATGCTTTTATTTCTCTCTCTCTCTCTCTCTCTCTCTCTCTCACACACACACACACACCAGTCTTCTCTTGAAAAAAATTTCTTGGATATTTTTGTCTTTGCCTTTTCCTATATCCAGCTGATTAATCTAAAGGAAGATAAAGAGTCACTGGTGGGCCTCTCAGAAGATACAGTTCTATAATAACACATAAACCTCTATAATATCATTTACCTTGGCAGGAAGTGTCATCGTTTGGCTTAAACTGTAATTTTCCTGTGGATGGTTGATAACCTTCCTTACAGGAGCAGTTATATCCTCCATACACATTTTCACATTTCGCATGATCTCCGCAGGCAGTGGCTACCGGTTCACTGCACTCATCTATATCTGCAAATATTGTGAGAAATTGAATTTTTTAAAAAAGGTTTTGCATACTAACACCTTGCTGCTTTGTTGATAGCAGCCTGCTAGACTGCAAGCAATTTTATATCAAAATTTCCTAAATGTGTTTCTTCCCCCCCCCCAAGAAAAAAAAGAGAAGAGAAGCTAAACTGTTAGCAAATAGAATGGAAAGATATGTGGCAGTCATACAGACATGCAGCTCAAGGTAGTGAGAAAAAAAACTTATATTTTAAAAACGGAGAGGGAGTGATTCATGGGTATCTGGAAAGCAGATCCGATTGCACAAGATCACTGCTAACCCTAGGTCAATCCAGCTGGTAACTGTGGCCCCACATCTGGATTGGACTCGGGTTAGCAATGGTTTTGTGATATTGGAGAAATATCTTCTGCAAATAAGTGGGCACCTCTTGTCTTAATTCTTTTTCACACCTTCCACATGAATTTGAATTATTTGGACCAGCCCTGGGAAGCCCTCATTCAAAATCCAAGCAAGAAAGGCCTCAGACTGGGCTTTAGCCTTGGCCTGACATCCTGAAGCCTTGGCCTGTCGATCAGAATTGTCCAGATAGCTCGGTGAGGTGGGTACTTGACTGTGGAGCCAGAGGCTGAGAGTTTGAATTCTTATTATGCTTCCCAGAAGAGAAGCAAGCCTAAGGAAGTTGCATAGCCCAAGATGGCCCCCACAAGAAGGGAAGGGTACACCCCTTCTCAATACATAGAATACCCTTGAAAGGGTTGTCATAACCCCGAATCAACCTGTTATTTCATTACTGTTAAATGAAGAATGGCTAAGAATATTTCATAATGCTTGCAAATGTTGTCGAAAGTGGAAAGCTATTTGTTAACAGACTCTAGTTTTTTTCAGGCCATGAAACGGGCAAGCATCCATTATCAATAGCAAATCAGGACATAACAATGAGCTTTGCAGAATAAGTAACCCAGCATTTCCTATGTATTCCAATAGACCAGAAGTATCTAAATCTTGTTTCTTGTTGTACTCCTCATCTGTGGATTCTAAGTCATCCTTGAAATCCACCATCGCTCAGGACAGATGTGGGAAAACTAAGGGCTTCTTCCAGATTGCCCTCCATGCAAAAGAGGAATAGAAGTGATGATGGGGGCAGTGATGATGGGAGGGCCAGTATGCTCCCCTCCTTGCACACTGATTGCTGCCAAGCTGCCTGGCTCTGTCTAACAACTCTGAATAGCATTGCACATGTTAAAGGGAATGGCTGGTAAAACTGGAGTCTTTCTGGATGGGAGAGAGGTTGTTTTGGAAACTGAAGAATCTGCCAACAGAAAAAGGCAAACAGTAATTGAAAACCAGCCCAAACTAAAACATTCACAGGATAGATGAGTGAATATGCTTCCATGGAAAAATGGCAGAAAAATAATTCCTATCAGAAGCATGATTTAGCATTAAATGTTCCCAAGATGTAGACAGGAATATTCCAGGAATGCTTCAAGAGGCAGACATCAGTGTCCTAGCCGGATGCATTCAGACAACAGCCATACTGACATAGGGATCAAGTAGGTAGATTGATTCAGAGAATATGTCTTTTTATTAAGTCAAATAACTTGTAATGGCTCCAAGCGCAGCCAGGTGGTTCTATCAGATTATTTTTCTTCCCTTTGGCAAAATCAGGCCATCTAGAGGGACGGACTACCCATTATTACAAGGCCAAGAGTTTCAGCAGGAGCAGTCTAGGAAAGACAGTGGGCAGAATTGAAGAGTTCTTATGTAAAAGGTCCTCAATTATGTGCATTTTAATTCTTCTAAGTTTGGTAAAATCCTGCTGTTGGACAGCTGTGTGGACTGAATCAAAGAGACATGTAGGCAAAGGTCCAAAGATCTCTGAGGCACATCTGTACTGTGGACATATTTGTCCCGAGAGCATAACTGGTAAAATGCTGCAGCACATTTTTAAATAACTGAATATGGCTATGGGGTGCTGCTTTGTTTCTGATCATGGAAGGCGGGTTACCCAGGAAAAGGCACACAAAGCCCTGATATGAGCTGGGAGCAGCATGTGGGTGACAAGCTTTGAGCCTTCCCCCATCTTTTTTTGCTCTTTTTGTATGCATACTCTTTATGTGTATGGGCGAAGAAGGAAAAGGAAAAAGATTGACGTTGCCTCCTAGATTTTAATGTTGCCTGCATTTTGATGGGGAATTGCAGATCTCACCTCCTGCTTCTCAGCTGGACTTGACAGGCCTTCTGTCATCTGGACTGGTGGGTACAATAACAGGGAAAACAGGTTTTCTTGATCAGTTTCCTGGGGAAGGGTACGCTAATGCACAGCAATACATCCAGTGAAGAAATGATAAAAACAAAACAGAAAACTGCCACAGTTGAAGAGTGTCATCAAATGCTTACTATGGAGTTTCATGATACTTCTGGGGAGCATAACTGACAAAGACTGCAACCCTACAAGATGGTGATCTACCCAGTTCTGTATAGTCTGGCACTCCTCTCACATTCAAGATGCAACAAAGAATGGGTTAAGTCATGTCCCCAGTGAGCCTCTAGACTAATTACTCTCCCTAGCTGGAATTCTTTTGATACTAAAGGGTAACCAAACTGGAAGCCTACCTTTAGCATCCCTGCACATAGCCTAGGTAACATATACCAACCATCCAACTCTTCACAAGTATTGCACATGCTGGATGCTTTGCCCAGTCAAGGGGATGCTTTTTACTCCTTTCATTCCTGTTAGCTGACTAGTTGTCTGTGCCAGCTAAGCTCACCAGAAAGCATTTAGCTCTCTGAATGACTGACTAGTCTGAAACCAGAGACCTATTTCAAGTACAAGAACTGAATGGTGCTTAGAATCCTTCTACTCCTTGTTATTGCTGTTTCCATTTCAATATAATTTAGGGAATGGAAAAAGTGAACAATGGAGTCTGATAGGTAGAAATGCTTATATGGCAGGACAAGGTGAACAGAAAGATCAAACTTGATTCTAGCAGTAGAAGGATGCTTCAGAAGAGTCGATAAATGAACTAGATTTTGGGCAGTGGGGAAGCAGAACTGAAAACCTAGAGCCAGCTAAAGACCAAAATGTAAATCACCAAGGAAGGAGGACAAACCAGGAGGCAGGGCTCAAGGACAACCAAGGAACATACAATGTAAGGGAAGCCTTGTTAACCATAAGAGAAATTTCTAAATCTATGTTGTAGTAAGAGCTTTCAGAAACCAACTGAAATGATTCAAAAATTTTGGTACAAGCTTTTGGGATGACATACTGTATTTGCTGGCATAGAAGACTACTTTTTTGTCCTGAAAAGCATGTCTCCAAGTGGGGTGTGTGTGTCTTATACGCCAGGTACACTTCAGTTGGGATAGACATATGTAGAAGACTACTTTTTTGCCCTGAAAAGCATACCTCCAAGTGGGGGGGGGTGTCTTATACGCCGGGTACACTTCAGTTGGGATAGACATAGCTGCCCATAGTGGCCTTCCGATGCTCGCCCGGTGCCCATAGTAGCCTCCCGATGCCTGCCCACCTCATTCTACATACTGTCCAGTATCACGCGGTATCCAGTGTGGGCGCAGCGAGCATCAGCAACGAGACAGGGGTGCCAATGGGTGCGGTGAGCATCAGCAGCGAGACAGGGGTCGCAGCCCTTTTGATGCGACCAGCCCGTTCTGTTCGGCAGGAAGCAGCAGCGCTCTGGCCCGCCTTTCGATGCTACTGGCCCGTTCTGTTCGGTGGGAAGCAGCAGCACTCTGGCCCGCCCCCTGTCTATGCAGAGCTTACACATGTGCACTTGCACACTAGTGCCGGTCACAGGGAGATGCAGGGGTGGGCCAGAAGTATACAATGGTGACAATGAATAGCACCTTTTATTTGGTGTGTGGAAGGTGTGCGGAAGAGGGGGTAGTCGTATACGGCGAGTATATAACAAACTCTATATTTTGAGTGGAAATGTTGGGGGGGTCATCTTATACACCCAGTCATCTTATACGCCGGCAAATACGGTATCTTTCCAAGAGGTATGATGTTACAAAGAATGAGAAGAAGGCTCGATGTAAAAGCAGTGAAGTCTGCATGCTGTCTTAAAATATGATGGCTGAAATCATTCTATGTAAATTTATGCCTGCACAAGCTGGTGATGTGATCTGCCATGAACTGTTCTCGTTCATTACAAGTTTCCTATTTTCCTGATTCAGATTTTCTGGCTCTTTCAGGATCCCTTTTGACCTGGGGAAATCTTTGGGAGCCTGATTGGGTGGTGGGGAATCTTTAATGCCTAGGAATCACTGCCAGTGATCCAGATCCCAGTAGACGATCATCATCAGCAATTAGCAGGCATGCCATAGGAAAAGCTGAATCAGATCTAAATGAAGGAGTGAAAGATGGTGGCAGACATTATGACAGTTGCACGATGAGGAATACTTGGCACACTGCTAATACATATGAGAAGGAGGGAGCTTTCACAAACTAACATGACTGTCTTTTCTCATTAACCTATTAGTAAGGTGTATTTTTATGGACTTAATGCAATCTACTCCCCCCTGCCAACCTTTGCTTTCAATGTGTGTTTCTTTCTCTCTTCCCTAACCATTGCTGGAACAGACATGATTGCTCTCTGCTCCTGCAATGGCTGAGTGAGCTTCTCCACATGGTTGAGGCTGCAATAACTTTTAATTCTTTTAACTCTCCAGATTGTAACTCAAGATCAAATTGTATGTAAGCATTTTTCCTCCTTTTCCTGCCTTACGCTGGTTGTAGAGTGACGTATTACTTACAAGGCGGCTAAGCTGGAGGCTGGGATTTAGTTATACTGTCTCCACATTTCCCTGTGCTGTAGCTGGATCAATTTTATACTTTATCCTCAGCTAATAAAGGGAATAATCAAAATCCCACTAAAATGTAACAATTTATGGATGGGAATTTTGTAATTGTACGATTTCCAGTCCAGCAATCACCTTTAATCCCTAGCTAGACTTCTGAAACTGGGAGAGGAGAAAGAATGCAAAA